ACTCATCAAGGCTAATCTATATTCATCATTTGATCAAAAACAATAAATAAATAACACTAAAATATCATTATAACTTACAGGTTTTATTCATTTAACAATAATATTAATATAAAAATGATACAACTTTTATTTACAGTGAAATATATTGTATTAATAACATGTTGTAACCACAACCTAACAATGTTGCAACTGTCCCCGGCTCCGGGGTCAGTTGCAACATCTGACTTTTCATTTTCAAACACAAATTGTGAAGAACTTACATGGTTTAATCATCTATAAATGGTTTTAACTATTAACAGACAGATGTAAGTTTGGTTTGTCTAATTCAAACCATCTCTGAGGAACAGAGTCAAATATAAAAAGTGTTGCAACTGTCCCCGGTCTCTCCTAACATCTTCCTTTATTGCTGCCTGCCTGCAGGACACGTTTTATTTCTGTSAAACATTGTCAGGATAAAATGAAACCAGTTCACAACCGGACGTTGCGTTGATGAAACATCCTCCTGACCTGAAGGTCACTGATGATGCAGAAATTAAGAAACATTCAGTTCTGTTTTCTACTGAAGTGGCTAAAAAAATAAAAATAAATAAAGAAGATGCTCCTAATCTGACCTGCCTGCGTCACATACGAGCAGRAACCAAACTCAGAGTCCTGGTTCCCCGTCTGGAACCTCACAGCTGAGAGAGCTCAGTCACTGTTTTAAAAAAGCACCGAGCAGAGAACATGAAGACACTCCGCTGGTTCAGATTCTGTCAGAGTGCAGCACTGATCCCCTGCAGGCTGYTCAGCAGATACCCACCGACACTGCAGCTGCACAACTACAACTCAAAAATAACATTTAGTTGTATTTTTACTTTTAAAAACAAAGAAAAATATCATATTTGTGCGTACGTATAACTCACTCCAGAGGGGAAATGTTGCAACATTTTTCTGCACAAAGAAGCTAAAATTAATCTTTAAAGTCTCTTGTTTTCCATCAGTTTACTTCCAAACAGAAGCTGAAGCAGATTTTCAGTTCTGGTTCCKCAGAGAGAAAAAAAAATCACCTGAAACCTCAGATTTCACAGAAGCTAGCTAGCTCTTAGCATGTGCTAATAAATGTAGGGCTRTAGTGAGTTTTCAGGAAGGTCTGCTGCAGAAATACACACAGAAAAAAACAGTTAAAATTTAAACTGAGCTAAGAAGAAAAAACAAAAAGAAGACGACATTCACAGAGATCAAAAAACAAAGATTTAACAGGAAGTAGGTGTTTATTCTGAGAAAAGACCACATGTGTGATTTCACCATACATTTATAAATGTCATAGTTTATAAACTAAATATTTAACTTACGTTAAATATTTAGTTAACAAGCTAAATATTTAACTTGTGACTTAAATATTTAGTTTTGAGCTAAATGTTTAGGTTGCAACTTAAATATTTAGCTAGCCACCTAAATATTTAACTTAAATAATTAGCTACCTACATATTTAACTTAAATAATTAGCTAGCCACCTAAATATTTAACTTAAATAATTAGCTACCTAAATATTTAACTTAAATAATTAGCTAGCCACCTAAATATTTAACTTAAATAATTAGCTACCTAAATATTTAACTTAAATAATTAGCTAGCCACCTAAATATTTAACTTAAATAATTAGCTACCTAAATATTTAACTTAAATAATTAGCTAGCCACCTAAATATTTAACTTAAATAATTAGCTA